ATTGATAGTGGAAGTTTGAGGTGGACTACGGTCCCGTGGTTTTTCTCACATTGGGTTTTCCACGTTAAAAAGATTTGGTCTCACTGTGTGATTGATTTATTGCTCTATTGTTTATGCTGTGCTGATTGATATTTTCATTTGGATATCAAGTTGGTATTTTGATGAGAAACCTATTTTGATACACAAAGAGGAAAGAATTATTTCGTATTAACAGTTTTCTTCCCAACATGAGCAACTCCAGTGTGTCGGTGTGACTACATATCATTGTACCATCCAATCGTGAGTCCTTCTCTTGCCATCTTTCTTCGGTGTACCATGCTTCGTCTACGTCATCCAAGGCTCATTCATGCACCTTCATCGCGCTCTTCGAATGTATTGGTTCAATTCCATATCATCAGTTCTGAGGATACATATATATATACAGTGCTAAAGCTCCACGATGAATGCAAGAAGGGTTATCATTGGAATCGTGTTCCTTGGCTGCCCAGAGACATTTCAATCTTTTCAGCAGACCTAAGAGTAATGGGAGCAAGAGGTAAGTGAATGTCAGAGACTCCGAGACGAGCACTAGAGAATCCACCACTTTCGTGAGGGAGACATCATCTCGTTGCTCGCTGGAGTTGCTTCTTTCAGCTACAACAATGTCGAAGTACTTGTCGTTGTGATTACCGTCATCGACTCGAGTAGCAACGCCGATCAATTAGATCGCCCTCGATAGTCAGAAGCTCCCAACTCTAATGTTCATCCAAATGAGTGCTGTGAGGGCACTTCATATACATGATCTTAATGTGCATGCACCATCTACATATACTAAATACTCTCCATAGAAAGACCAAACCAACACTTCATTCATGCATACGTTTTTTTTTGTCCATCAGAGAAAAAAAAAGGAATGAATAATTTCATTGTAACACCCATGATTAATCTCACATACAAAATTAAGATTGATTTATAAGGGTCTGATGAGTATATTATTATAATCAAATTCAACTTAAATATTTTGATAAGTGGTTTAAACCAAACAAAATTGATAGATCAGTTAGCCCATTAAACCTGGGTCGTAATATTCATTGTATCAAAATATGCTTACATTCGATGTAAATTTATTCTCTATATCTAATAAATCTAACCATGGCTTGGATTATAAATTAGAGCATCAATGCTCATGTTTGGTCGATCCATTCCTATCTCTAGTTATGGGAGTTTACCCTAACAATTCATTTTCAGGTTTGATCTCATCTTACCTATCATAATGTAAGAAAGGTAAGTTCTACATTATTTTGATTTTAATCTCTTTATTCAAAATAATTCCATATTGCTTTGGCCACCGTAATAAAGTTCAAGATTTAGAAATTATTGATTGAATTGAGCTACAGTGAGCAAAGCAATAAGAAAATATTGGTTATATTTAGGGCACATTCATCTTATTGCTTTGCACACTATAGCTAAGTTCTAGATTTATAGATCAAACTCTCTACGACAGAATCAATAAGAAAACACCCATAACTTGTGAAGAGAGTTCCAAGCGAAGAAAACACCTATAACTTGTGCTCTTTGCACCAACTCATGTTGAAAATAATATTCTCTTTAGTGAAAATAATATTCTCTTCGGTCGTAACTCGATATATGGTCTCATAGTCTATGGTGACATCAACATATGTCTAATATAAAATATTAATATTATGAGAATATATTTTGCTACACAAAATATTTTCTTAGGCATGACCAAATTCAAACTGATTATGAAAGATAATTGAGGTCTACTTACCTTAATACTCTTCATATTAATTGTGCATTTTATTTAGGACTCAAACATGAGGCATATTAACTGCACAAAAATAAGTTATCCTTAATTAACAATACATTAATCATAAGAATATTATAATAAAAATAATTATTTATGGATTTATGCATGTCATCATTTATTTATAAATAATTTAAGTTTCATACTTAAATAATTTATTTATTTATAAATAATATGAACAAATATTATTTAAGTTCGCTTGCAAATCACACCAAAATCTATAGGCCCATGGAGTTGAATGTTAGGATGATTAGGTCATCGAATTCATTGATGTTAATTGGTAAGCATAGGAAGATATGTACTTATCATTTCTAATTAATCATCACATAATATATTAGTTGGTAATTTATCGATAATATATCGTTTCAAGATCGAAAAAAATTTACATCGATAATATATTCATTTGACCTTTTTGCATAGATCTCCTCCTCAAGTCAATTATGTTTTTCAAATCGATTATGTCTTTCATGATAGTTATATTATTATGTTAATCATATCCTTAAAATAATTATGTCTTTTAAGAAGACAAAAGTTATATCCCTCGAAAGAACTTATCTTGGATCTATTTACATGTAACATTTCATACTGAAGCAAAAGATACCTTGATATAGAAGATCCGACCTTTAGAACATTTCCTCTCTTTTTTTGGATGATGAGTATATTTGTAACAATAAAACTCTTCTCTTCTCATATTAACAGAAGTATTATACCACTTTGCTTTTATAAATTATAAATTTACATGTATTTGTTACCTCTATACCCATTTATTTATTTTATATTTAAAAATAATATTTACTTATTTTAATTTCACTTCCCAAATAATGCCTCATACTAAAGTTTTAAAAGTCCAAGAAATCACCTTTCAAGTAAACAAAACACCTCCTTGACATTCATAAGCCACTTTAAGCATTGTAATAGCTTTCTCATCATATGCAATTAATCCATGTCTCTTTTGGACATAGCACTACTTTAAAAAAAAATCAAATTGGATCAATCTCATCAAATCAGATTGACTGTCAATATTGACCATATCAAGAAAAGAAATAAAATCAATGACCTGTTTCTAAGGTTTGTTTATTGCCAAGGTTGACTGAGCTTCTTTTTCTTTGTATACACATTCATTGTGATGTACAAAGAAAGGGTCAACAGTACTTCTATATGGCAACAAGCATTCAATTAGCCAAGTTGAGATGTAAATTTTGTTTACAGCCTCAACACTTGTACCTTCCTCAATAGAAAGATATCAAAAGAAGATTGCAAAATCTGGTCCAGGATCTGCATTTATCTTGTAACATCTTTTCTCTTTTTCTATGTAGAATGTTTTCTAAGCATCAGTATGTTAAGACTCCTGAAGATTCAAGATGAGGGGAGAAGCTTTTAAGTCACTCAAAGGCAGCTATTTTGATGTAGTAAACCAATCTGTGCCACTCACCAAGCCATGCAGGATTGAAGGAAATTAAACAAGTCTAAAGGTAATTGCAGGAGAGTATTTATTATCACTATGCCAAAATATTGAAGATTTGGAGACTTGAGAACTTAACATGTCATATTTGGGTTCTGAATGTTTGGCATAAGAAGATGAATTTGTCAAGTGAATGGGTTTTGGGAGAATGAAATTGGTTTCTTTTAGTGTTGTTGTGGGTTGTCATCTTGGAGAGGAGTTGGGTTGTGTGAAGTGGTCCTCTTGCCATGTCTCCTGTTGAAATGATGGGGCATGGAGTCCAGAGTGCAAGAGTGGGTTGAGGAACTCTTCACACTTGCACTCGAGAGGGTTGGTGTCACAGTGGAGCTTGATGCAGTCCGAAATGATATCATCAGATGGATGTTTCATGAAGTCTTACCCCACATGACCATTGTGTTCCTTTGGTGTGAGACTTGTCATCAATCATCTTGAGCCCCACACCAGAAGAGTCAATGACACTCATGGAGGAGGAGGAGTAGGAGGAGGAGACCCACCTTCTTCACCTTTCACCTCTGGCTGACCCTTTTTTACCAGCCTTTCCTGCTCCAAGTTCATCACAGGCTTGTGAAGCCTAAGGCAAAGTCAAACCCTTGCTAGCTACCACTAACATGCCTTGAGGAAGAAGTCAAAGAGAAACTATATTTTACTCTTGTGGTTTCTTTCTCTCTTTTCCTCTTTCTTGTTGCGTATGTGGTCCTCTTATGATGAAACTTATCTAGAAGTTAACAGTTTCCCTCAAGGAAAGAAGTGATCAAAGAGTTCATCTGGTCTTAGGATGTAAAAGATGCAAGCTGTCTAAGGACAATCTTTTCTGAGATCAGAAATAGATTTAGCAAGTTGGTTGTTTGTCTATGATCTATAGCAGGATATTGGCTTCCTATAATTATACTTCTATCAGAATTGGTCAAAGTTCTTGCAATTAGCTTTGCATTATGACCCTTAAGAACTATCAAGATGACTGTGAACTTGTGATTCAGTAAGGTGGTATGAACACTCAGAATCCAAAATGAACATTAGTTGAAGATTAAGTCATATTTCCTTAGTTTCACTAGACTCTTCCTCAACTCCTTTCACAGACTTCACCTTGATTGCCTGAAAACTACCAACTCTTCCCTTTACTGTCTACTTTTACCACTGCTTCTGAGTAAATTTTGTGTTGTTTCGGATGAATCCATCATGAAAAGCTATGAAACAAATATGGCCCATACTCCATATATTACACAAAAAAATTGCTTTTTGTTCATCAACTTAAAATTGGTCCACCAAGAAAGTTTCTCCTCTTCACATTCATAGCATGTCAGTGCAAGTTTCCTACTCTTGTCACAATATTCTACCACAGCATTCAATCTGACTCAAACCTTGTTTGCTTCAAGGGCAGGAGCTGCTGTAGACAGGGTGAGGTTGAATTTTTGTTTGGACTTTGTAACATCTTTTTTTCTTGAATCCACTCACAGCTAGAAAGATGAGTGTGCTGTCTTGATATTTTCCTGGGTATAATTTCTTTCTACTTGAATACTTCTTTTTTTTTTTAATCTTTGGTTACATTTTGCTGAACTATTACTTGATCGAAAGGTTTACCTGCTTTTGTTTTTTGTTTTTGCTTTCCAAATAGTTCTTTGTTCATTGAGTCAGGTTCCTTGATCCCTCTCATTCCTATACTTCCTTGGAAAGAACAGTGTAGCATATGGTTCTCTGTAGAAAGAAGAAGGATCTGTTTAGCTTGTTTTTGGCATTTAATTGTTACATCTCCTAGTTTAGTTCAGGTAGATGAGTGCTCCAGGCACTTGGATTACAAGTCAAGGCAACTTCTATTGAACTGCTAAAGATCTGGCATTTTTGATGCAATAAGAGCTAGCTGTAAGCTGAGAACAAACAGTTCATCTTCTTTGCTTCCATAAGATCAAGCCTTTGATATCTTCATTTGGATTTTAATGTCATCAGCATCATGATATGTACATCAGTGGATTGGAAAACTACAATGGTAGGATGATCAATCAATACCACCTCTCAGACACAAAGATCATATCTAGCAGGACAAAAAGTAAGCAATCATCTTTACTGCATTAAATTTCTTTAAACTGTTATACTCCCAAAATTCTTGGAGAATGTCAATATACTTGTAGACTTAGCAACAAGGATCCACTGCTTTGGTGTTTCTCAAGCATAAAGAAATCTCATGGAAACAAATTATTTTCTTCTTTCAATTTCTGGAATAAAGAAAAGCAAATTTCAACTCTAGCAAAACCTGAATCTGGTGAAATTGATCTGTAAGGTTGTGTGTCAAAGGACAAACTAGTATGAACTGAGTTCAGTAATGTTATGTGCAGATCTCAATTTGCTTTCCGTTCGACTGAAGTAGTAAATTCTCGGAATTCATTCACTGAAGAAAATTCTTGAAATTTATGGCAAAGTTGGTAGAATAAACTGCAACAGCAGACTTATTGCGGTAACAACAGCAAAGTAGAATGACCAAAGCCTGAACCAGGAGTTAGATCTCTTCTTTCTTTCTGTAGAGCATGGTACATTTTATGCGACTCTGCTTGATGATCAGCTGTCTGATAACACAGATCAAGCTGGCAAGAACTTGGAGATGGAAGATAGCAGAGCTAGTGTCACGGCAAAGGCCGCGAGAAGATCTGATTAGTAATACAATTAACGGCTTAATATAGTTCAGGGTTTTACATAGCTATCTTTCCATGGCATATTTGCCTCTCCAAATTTTAATATTTCATATGCATTTTTTCAAAAAAATTATATTTACATATATATGCCGCCAAATCTTTATGTCTTCCATATATGTTATTCCTATCAACAGCCATCCAGTAAATTCATGTTAACTATTAAAAATCATGATTGTCAACAAATATATGAAAATTTATCAAAATTTTACATACCTAAAATGATCTTTATTACTTTTACTTCCATCATTTCTGGTGGACAGACTAATATCAATTTAATATATTGTTATATATGTAAGTCTTTTTATCTTTGTGATCATCCCTTTTTGACCTTTCTACTTTTATTTTTGTCCTACAGAAGCCTCAATTCTCCTCATCCATCATCAGAAAACCAAAACTTGAACAGAACAAAGTTCTAAGACAAGATCAAACATGGTCATGAATGGAACAAGGTCTAGTTTCCGGTGTCAAGTTGAGATTAGAATCAGAAATTGCTAAAATCATAATGAAACTTGAAAGTTGAGTTGCATTTACAAATTCAAACATTTGGGGACAAGATATTTTGCAAGAACTAGATTTCATCAAGGATCTACCAAAATTCACATGAAAATACGACAAATATGAGAAAATTAGGAAAAAAAATCTAATCAAGAAATAAAACCATTAACCAATTCTAATAGATTAGATAGATTAGGTTAGCTTGCAAAATTATTGGTCATAATTGATCACTATTCTAAACAAAATATGAGAAAAAAAAGGAAAATGGGTCAATTTAAGGTCCACTTGAAGGATTAGAGTCTCAAGTTGTCCTATTATGATGATTAGGTATAGGAAATTGAGCTTGATTTAGATTAATACGAATCCAACGAATGCTGCTAATCAATTAAGTGACCATTTGATACAATTTAGTGTTAGAAATAACTAAGATTGTTTAGTCATTGTATTGTTGAAGTCGCTTAAATGGAGAGATGATTACAATATGTTTATTCATCATTTGGTAATTCAAGGAAGTGACTTAATTCTAGATTTCATTATGAGGAACTTTGTCCAAAGGTAACATGTGATCTCAGCAACTTACAGAGGAATCATTTCAGCTTTGGATTCATATGATAGTGTCTGCCATCCTTAATGATAAAGCACTGTATCAAATGTCCTCTTGAGGAACTTTGGAATTATATCGAAGATGATATTCTTCAATTATGAATGGCTTCTTCAAAGGTGATAGTAATATTAAATGGATTCAATTATGTTTTTACATTGTTGCCTAAGTGAAGCAATACATTTTTTTTCTTAGAGACTAAAAGCCATCTTTAACATTAAAATGAAGGTCTGCCAACAAGCTTCATCCTTAGTGACAAAGCACAATACTGAGCCTAAGCATTTTGGGCAGCTTTATGCCCTATGTAACACCAAGACAATAAATTTTATATTGATTTAACATCATAGCCCAGAAGTGAATTGGACTTTCATGATATGGATTTTGTGTTGACATGATGATGCATTAGGAAAATTAGCTAAGAAAGCTTGTGTTTCTCCAAAAGTTACAAAATGGGGGAAAATTGAGAATGAATAGACTAATCAGCTCGCTGCTACATTTTAAGCTTTACTAGATCAATAGGCAACTCAATTCATGGAAATTTTGGGTAGTAACGCAAGATATGGATTAATGGTAGAAAAAACATTCATCTATGACAGACTGTCCTTGTTTATTCTTTCTGGCAGAAGATGTGCTCACTATGTTCTTGTGGCTGTAATCCTGATGGCCTTTAGTTGATAGTTTGATATCTGGTATCGGCATAAATAATTCCAAATCAAAGAATGAGGTGTGTGAATGTTCAATATTTCTTTCTATTTCATTTGGCTAATTGGGTGGTGTGGCCACTTAAGATTATTCTTTTGTTAGCCATAGCAACAGAGGTTGAACACCCCTGCTTATTTCTGCAATGGTACATGTGAGATTCATCTTGTCAGCAGTATATTATATGATCATGAATACCTTTACTGAGACTTTTCCTGATTATTTTTTCCAAGGTAAAAGTCACATATTCACAATATGAAAATATTTGCTTTGGTACAATGTGCTGCAGTTGTTCTGAACATTCATTTTGAAACTGAAATAGATTTCTTTTGATCGGGAAAACCTTTTGTGAGATGGTTATTATCCTCTACTATTCTAGTAGATTGAAACTACTACATCACTGTAAGATCTTGGCATAACAAAGGCAATTTTTATTTTGATATACTTTCATAATCATCATAATACAGAATTGAGGATCTCACATTATCTCATACAGACAAATTCTTGTAGACACAAACATGCAAATTTATTCTTGTGCAAAATATGGATCTAGCAGCATGGATGGATTTCAAACTAAGAAATGGCTGCTATGATTTGGTTGGTTGAATGCATAATGAAAAGGAGGAGGAAAGTCATTCCAGTGAGCAAGATCAAAGCTACTTGACATGCCACAAGACATAACACATTATGATGTATGTATGCATCTAATAATAGATAGCTTTAAGGAAGATTGGATGAATGTCGGTAAGCGTGCTGCTAATAGCTATCCTGTGGTAAAAGAAGCATGATGATGTGAATTCATGGCAGTAAGGGAAGAGTGTTTGGAAAGTCACACATTCCTTGCTCACTGATTCACATTCACACAACAATTACAGACTTAATTGTTCTATCTTCAATGTTGCATATACTTTTAAGAACTAACTAGCATGGATTTGAAGGATGAAGTGGATGAGCTTAGTTTTGAGCCAATTCTGATTGACATTTCATAGTTACAACCCTAGTGAAAGGAAAAGAAAATCATGCATGGTATTGGAGAAGAGAAATGAACTGCATTATGGTATGTGTGACCTCTGCAACTCCATTAGCAGGAAAGCAACATAGCTTGGGCCATGTCTATGAATTTACAGATTCTTAAGCATTCTTATGCAAGTACATGCTGCACATGCTACTAGATGATAGGATCGATATTTCGTTATTAGATAGCATTATTCCTATGCTCTTAACTTTGCCCTGTTAGGAAATGACTAGGTGACTACATCATAAGGTCTTGTGTTGCTTTGTAGGGTGATGCTCTTCTCCATGGTTGATTTCCCTCTTCATGTAGTATGTGCATACAAAGAACTTTTACCAGATATCCGCATCACAATAGTTATGCGAATTAAAAGTGTAGAGCTTCAAATCTTTCGAAGCCTAATATACAGACCTTGAAGTTTTGCTTGAGTCCTGCTTAAGAGTATATCTGCATGGATAATGTAGTCTTCGGTGCTTGGATTCTTTCTGCTACATAAGAATGTGATAGGGAAATATATGACATGCATGCTGCAAGTTATCTAAGATGTTATCTTGGATAACCGAAAATTTCTCATCATAAGCACTACTCAATTGCTCTATTGTGGCGATGGCAGTCATGGGAGATCATAAGCAGGATTTTTAGATATGATGATGAACTGCACACGAGTTCATAATTATAGTGTATCAGATAATTAGAGCAGATGATTAGACAAAAAGAGAGGGGAAGTAGGCCTCTTTCCCTTGTAATCAACCTTGCCTGCTATATTGGTATAGACTTCATGCTGAATCCAAGAGAGGGTAGATAGATTACTCTGAGTTGTAGTTGTGGAGCTCAATGATCTTGAGAGAAAGAACTAGGTCAGTGCAACTTGGAAAGGGAAGGAAGAAAGTCATGATGCAGACATGGTGCATGTCAGAGGACATTGTAGCTTTACAAGGCTTGCAGTTGAAGCAGTCTACACCATGCTGAACTCCATGGAATGATAAATTATGGCCTTTCCCTACTATATAATGCACAGACTTGCAACTGGCAGATCTGTGAGAGGCAATGACTACTTCTTTTCACCTCCTATGGGGCCTCTTCCTCTGTCATTGGCTTTATTGCAGTCACTGCTTGCCCACAGGCCATGTAACCTTATCTCCCAATAGAGCCCCAGTCTTCTCCGTTCCCCACCAAATAATGCTAACATATAAGGTGGTCTTTTTGTTCCTGTGTTGCAGGTGCACATAGTCTACCTGGGCCACAGCCATGGCCAAGATCCTCTCCTCACCACCAAGCTCCATGTCAAACTTCTCTCCAGTGTCTTCTCCAGGTAATCAATCAAATCCCACCTCTTCTATCTTACCTTTTCTTGCCTCCACTGTGTTCAACATAAATACAGCTGCTGTCTTTGTTCTTCTGGCAATTTGATTTCAGGCAAGAAGAAGCAGAGGAAGCCATGGTGTACAGCTACAGGCATGGCTTCTCTGGTTTTGCAGCGATGCTCAACTCAACACAAGCCTCCACCTTGGCGAGTGAGCACATCAACATTCCCATCCAAACTCTGAATCATCATCCTCCATTGCTCAATGCACTAACGGGAACAGCACTTGCAGGTTTCCAAGGGGTGATATCTGTGTTCAGGAGCAAGTTGCTGCAGCTGCACACGACGAGGAGCTGGGATTTCATGGGTCTCAGCTTGAACATTCAGCAAAGGATTCCATGGCAGTTGGATTACGGCGATGACATCGTAGTTGGCATCTTCGATACTGGTATCTCGTGCTTGCATCTTATCCACACTCTCTGATCTGTAGTGTCCTAACCTTTCTTCTTCATGTTGAGGCATATGGCCTGAATCCGAATCCTTCAAGGAGGAGCCCGGAATGCCGCCGGTGCCGCAGTCATGGCGCGGCACCTGCGTAAAGGGCGACAAATTTGAACCGAAGAAGGCATGCAATCGTAAGCTTGTCGGTGCCAGATACTACCTCAATGGCTTCGAGCGTGAGTTCGGGCCGCTGGATACAAGTGGGGACGGCGAGTACCGGTCGCCGCGAGACCGTATCGGGCACGGGACGCACACGGCGTCCACCGCCGCCGGCTCCACTGCCGCGAACGCCAGCTACTTCGGCCTGGGCCTCGGCGCTGCACGGGGCGGCGCACCCCGGGCACGGCTTGCAGTGTACAAGGTGTGCTGGTTCAAGGACTTTGACGGCAAGTGCACCGAGGCGGACGTGTTGGCAGCCTTCGACGACGCTCTGTGCGACGGAGTTAGTGTGATCTCAGCCTCGCTGGGTTCTTCGCCGCCATTGATGCGATTCTTTCGGACGAGCACAGACATCGGGTCGTTCCACGCAGCGCAGGTGGGAGTCACGGTGGTCTTCTCCGCCGGGAACGATGGCCCGGAGCCATCACTCGTGCAGAATGTGTCGCCATGGAGCATCTGCGTCGCCGCTGGAACCATGGATCGAACGTTTCCAACACAGATCCTTCTGGGGAACAACCTCTCCTTCATGGTAACTTAATTAGCTTCATGTTTGATGCATGTGTGTTCCAGTAACATCAATCAACCTGCCTTGCTGCTGCAGGATGAGGTTGCGTTACAATGCATAAATTTCATCTGCCATATGTTTCCTAAACAATGTTGAATATGATTACATGATATTTTTCTGATGATCTCGGATTGTAATATACTTCATGCTATCTGTAATTAGTCGTAATATGTTTCTGAAATTTAGTTCTGTTCTTGCTAATTTCCTGTTTCTTTGTACAGGGTGAAGGCTTTGTCAGAAAGGAAATGAAGATGAAGTTAGTCGACAGTATCAAATTCTTTGATGATGGGTGATCTCTCTCTCTCTCTCTCACTCTCTCTCTCTCTCTCTCACACACACACAACCAAGCTGATTAAGCTAACATATATCGCTATTCTTTATGCTGTAAGATCATGTTCCTTTGACAAATGGAACCACAAGCTTGCCACAGGGAAGATTGTTCTTTGCTTCTCCTCAATAGGGCAGGTGTCCAGCACAACCGCAGCCCTATCGGTCTTGACAGCCAATGGATCTGGCATCATCTTTGCCCAGACCACAACGGAGCAAGCAGCTACAGATGACTACCTTCCATCTGTTCAAGTTGATCTCAGTCAAGCTACTCAAATCCTCTACTACATACAGTCATCCAAGTAAGTTCATCTTCATGCACATATTAGATAGATTGCTCCTTTGCGACTTGACATATTGTGTGAATCTACACTGCAGGGATCCCACAGTACGTGTTCTTCCCAGCAGAACAAGTATCGGCTGCTCACCGGCTCCTTCTGTTGCATACTTCTCATCGAGAGGACCAAATTCTGCCACTCCAAACATCCTCAAGGTAAGATTTCGATTATCCTCAGTTCAACATGCGTGTAGAACCCTAAACCACAGGCATTGGATGTCACTCCTTGATGAGTGCCATGCATGCTAAGTTTCTTCTCTCTGTGACTTGATGCTGCAGCCTGACATCACTGCTCCTGGGGTGAATGTACTAGCGGCGTGGTCTCCGAAATCTTCACCCACTCTGCTGCCATTCGATGAGCGATCTGTGAAGTGGAACTTCAACTCCGGGACTTCCATGTCGTGCCCCCACGTCTCAGGCATTGCAGCCCTCATCAAGTCGGTTCACCCCACCTGGTCCCCTGCAATGATCAAGTCCGCTTTGATGACCACAGGTGGATGCATTGATTGATCTCCGGACAAGAAGAAGGAACCTAATCATGCTTTTGATCTGCCATGCAGCTTATGCGAGGGATACGAGCTCAGATAGTATATTAGCAGGAGGAACTCTGAAGCCGACGGATGCCTTCGACATGGGCGCGGGGCACGTAGATCCCCTGAGGGCATTGGATCCAGGGCTGGTGTACGACATGGGAACTCGAGACTACGTCGTCTTCCTCTGCAGCTTAGGGTACACGCAGGCGCAGATAAAGTCCATGCTCCTCCCGTCGCCCGGCGTCGACACCAGCTGCGGCGGCGACGAGTCGGATCTCGACCTGAACTACCCGGCCATCACGGTGTCGGATCTCAGCTGCTCCACGACGATACGTCGAACGCTTCGCAACGTGGGTAGGATTAAGAACGCAGTCTACTTCGCGAGCGTCAGGAGTCCTCAGGGAGTGCATGCCGTGGTGTGGCCGAGGCTACTGCTGTTCTCGAGGAGGAAGGAGAGGATTACGTACTACGTGACGATGATCCCTTTGAAGAGGTCGCAGGGGCGATATGACTTCGGGGAGATTGTGTGGTGTGACGGCCATCATCGCGTGAGGACTCCATTGATTGTGCATGTCAATACTACGAAGGATGGAGGGAGCAGCAGCAGCAGCAGCAGCAGCTCCTCATTGGGAGGTCTCCAAGTTGCATGACTGGAGCAGCAGCAGCAGCAGCTTTTTATCTTCTTCTTGCTATCACCTTGAGATTGTGGTAGGATTTCCAGGAACTTTGACTGCTAGCTTGTTGGAGTAGTTCTTAGTTGTGATGAAGGAGCTCAGAGGAGCTTTTCTTATCCCAATAAATTTGTTAGCTTTCTTTTTCAAATCCAGCTTATTTAGATTTCATTCACTAATGAAGGAGTAATGAGAGTAAAAAGAGGGGAAAATATAGTGTAGGATTTTTTCGAAAGTAAAGAAATAATACTGATATGAGAAATATTTATCTTCTATAGTAAGTATTATTAGCATCTCATTCGGAGAATATTTTCCTATTACGTAGAATATTCTCTTTGGCTATATTAGAAACCAAAGGGGACCGACTATAAAAGGCAACCTGGAGCATATTAGGAATCTCATCCGATATTGAATTTTAGTCTAAATTAGGTCAACGTCAAATATCCATATGGAACTAACTATCTAACTAATGTCATCCATGTATGGAATGTGTTAGGTTATCATTACGAGATATTAGGAATCATATCTAACCAAATCTAGTGTAACTGTCAAAACGACTTACCTACTAGAGGTCAAGATAACAATGATATGACTAAAAGAGTCTCAACCCATGCAACTATCTTAAGTCTAATTGCAAGATCAAAATGGTCAAAGTGCTCCAAAGTATAAACTTTAAAGCAAGGTTCGCAATACCGTACCGTACCGTACCGGTATTTTGACTTGGGCTCGGTACCAGTACGGTACGGTACGGTATACCGATTACTGTAGTACTGCTACAGTGCTACAGTACCTGCTACAGTGCTACAGTACCTCGGACCGGTAACCATCGGTCCGCGTATCGAAAACCTGTCGGACCGGTATATACCACCTGTACCGGGCGGTACGGTTCGGTACGGCAAACCCTGCTTTAAAACCTGTTTATGTTTGTAGATAAGGATGAACAAGCAACAATAATCCAATGTCTCATATCGGTAATCATGCTCATAAAGTTATAGATACTATCTGATTCATACATAATCACAACACAAGTAAAACAATTTAGTGGTGAGGAGGAACTACAGCAACTCTTACTGGCAGCAAACTAGTAAAAACTTGTATGATTGAACAATACACTGCCATTATCCATACTTCATCAGATTCAAGCATTTCATTATAATGTCTCTCAGCACATTCAACATGAAAAGATACCCAATTTGCTTTAATGCAAACACCTTCAATTTTCTTGCCAACTCTACTTCAGTAGAAGCTGCACCAGGAAGAATGTGACTATCTCTGCACATAGCTTGATCAATAATGAGAAAAAGCATGTTATAGATGGTGTGGTTAATCATGGTGATTTCTATATTAACCATCCTAAAATTGTCAAGTGACCAACCATTGGACGACACATCGGAGAGTTTATTTTCATCATTTGTAAGAAGACTCACCTTATATGTATTCACACCATCGTCAACAGCTCTCTTAAGATCATCCAGTATACCATCAGGACTTCCTTGTAACACCACTGTAGAAACTGAGTTTCCACCTCAAAAATTTAAATTTGTTACCTGTAAAAAAGGAAATGAAAAATTAACATGAAAATTCAGCAACTTTCCAGCCGACTTGTCAGATGCAAGATCCAGGGGATCTCACTGTGGTCAACATGTCATCCTCAATGAAAGTCTCTGAAGATAAGATGCAAGTTAGGGGTGGTGAAACAAATTACAAGAGTATACTGGGATCAGCTACCAGGCATCAGGCACAGCCAAACACAATTCCAGATATTCTTATCTTAAAACTGAGCTTGAAATACTGAGGATCCAATCTATAAGCATGAAAGTGTTTGCCAGAGACATGAAAGATCACATCATAGCCTTCCTGATTATCCAAAAGTGCATTGAAGTGTATTCCAGTGTCTGAATATGGAACTTGTATAGATTGGAGTCTGGTTGAGTCCATTATAGACACCACCACAATGACAGTACATTTAATATTTAAGCAATCTTCCTTAGGGTAATCCAATGTTTCAAGAGCAGCTCGCCTGAAAAAGCTCTTGTAACCCCTGAAGAATATTAATGTAAAAGTACATTATGAAGGAAACAATAGAAGTATGCACCTAAAACACTCTTGGCAAAGTGCATCAAGCGAAATAGATATCAGCATAATTTTTGCACTCACATTTGAAAAATGCCAAGGGAAACAGAAGATCATAGTTAAAAGGATTTATCTGTGTGTGTATATCATATTGTTCTCATTCTTTGGATATTATTTTTATTGAGGCCTACACAGTCATGCCAATTCAAGCATAATTATCTACTAAACTCGCAGCTACAGAGGAGGATGAGACGAATCTAATGTTGCTAATAGCATGCTCTAATCAAAGGCCATTTTCCACATGAATAATCCTCTTGGAAGTCGAGAATTGCTGGTTCACCCTTTCAAGAACACATGATAGACTAGCAGCTAGGGAACATATGCCAAGTATCCAAATGCCATAACATCTAAAGGGATTGAGTTGATTAACACTTAAGCAATAAGCTGACTATAGGCAAGCTTTCTATTTCACAAAGAAATTCTATTATTGTGAATATATATCCATTGAAATGTTAGAAATCATTTAAGATCCACAAGTCATCAATGATTTACCACAATTCGCCAGCATAATATCATCACCCATAATCATTACTAGATCATACTGAAAAGGAAGATAACCATGAAAGGAAGAGAATAATAAGCAAGATCTGTCAGCAACTGAAAAGCCATGAGTATTGATTATGTTGAATGTATATGAGCTGTACAATTGCATACTGTCAAAAAAACAAAAAAAGACTAGCCCGACAATTTAAAATTTCGACTGAAACCATACAAGTCTCTCCATGGTTTCACGAGTAGCCTGTGTTTGAGGATGTTCACAGCCATATATAACCTCCTTGATGCCAACAGCAGTCCTACAAAGCTGCTCCCCGATGTCATATTGTCCCCCTTGTAGCATCAACTTTGCTCTTGTTTCTAAAAGAATTGCTCTCAGACTTGCAAGATCAAGATAAATAAGTGGATCAGACTCTATAGATGATCGAGACCTGGGATTCTTCGGGCACTTAGTTTTATGTTGAGCAGTGGTGGCTTTGGACAGAAAAGATTCCTCCAAGGCTTCCAATGCTTCAGTTGATACACGTAGAAGCTCTAGGGCAGCATTGCAGAGGGAAAAATTTGTAAAAGTGAGTGAAGCTAGGGGCAGGGCAAATCTTCTGATGAAGGACAACAGATCTCGTTCTGGAAGATCGATAACCCCAGGATCTATGCCAAATTTAAACAGCAAGAAGCAAGCTGACCATATATGATCAGCATGTTCCTGTAAATTCCCTTCCTTCTCAATTGCCTTTATAATTGAAATTGCACTATTGTTATCATCTCTTTCACGGGCATAGATCTTAATGATACTGTGAAAAGAAATATGTCCCATTCTAGTGCTTTCTCTTGCTACCGAAAACCTTACTAGCGTGGATGAGGCTTCAGCTTCCGAAATATTAACATTCAATTCTCTGGCTGTGCAGGAAAGAAAATGAAAGCACCTTTTGAAAAACCTTGTGCGACAATGCTTTGCAGATGCAGCAATTGCCAGCATGGAGATTGGGATCGCTGATGGTGCAAACCAATTGCTAACGCCCACCATCTTTGTGGCCAACTTGCTAGGCTTCTGTGCATTATCCAATATAGAAAAGCACACATCTAGAAGCTGAACAAGAGCAGGGTTCTGTTTCATAACGAGATCTTCTTTCCTACTAAATTTCAGTTCTCTATATGGCACTTGATTTATCATGTCCAATAGTTTGAGTGGACCTATCGGCAGCTCAGATACAATTGCTCTTACAAGTGCTAGACCCAGAGGTAACCTACCTAGTTTCTCTTCGATGATCCTCAGAGCATTGGCATCTTCTGTTGGGAGTTCCGTTACCCTCCCCTTCATCAGGATCATTGCCTCTGCAGCAGACAAGTACGAAAGCCTCAAGGGCATGATATTCAGAACTCGAGGAAGACGAGATGAGATAATAATGTGTGTCTCTCCACCAAAACGAGGCAAAAGTTCCATTATGCTACTCCCATCCCACCAATCCTTCTCACTTTCCAAGTTATCAATCACTAGAAGGAAAGGGATGTCTCGCATGAGCTCCCTTCGCACCTTTCCAATAGCATCTGCCTCCAGCTCCTTGAAGCTTCTTGGCCCATTTCTTCGTGAGAACATCTCGGTCCCAATGGCAACATCAACGCCCAGCAAAGGCAACAACTTTAAGTAGTTTTGGCGGAGATATCTTGACTCTCCACCAACCCATAATACCCTTTTGTAGCTCTGAGAGAACTTGTATGCAAACTCGAGCAACAGCTCTGTTTTGCCAATGCCCGAGTCACCACAGATGCAGGCAACACCTCTTCGATATGACATACTCATTGCATTTCTTGTCCTTCTGTGCCTCACAGGCAATTCACTGCTCCAAGTGCCCTGCATCTCTATCTCTTCCTCTGATTCTTTCCAAACAACAGGTTCCTTACCCTTAGCCTTTATCTCCACATTCTTCTTTGCTATTCTTCCTTTCTGTGTTCCGCTGCTGCTCGTGCTATTTTTGGCCATAACAGTGTCTCTTCTATGTGTATCACGAGTTCTGATCTCGATATATTCCTCTGGATTTCCTTCGAAGTCTCCAAATAGCATCATTTCGAGCTTGGCAAGCTCGCTCTTCCTTCCAACAAAATTAATGTTTCGTGGAAATGGGAGTTCCTCCACTGCCATCTCCCTCCACCTCTGCACCTTCTCCACCATGCTCCTCCGGCCTAATTGCGTCCCCAAGAGTAATACCGCATCGAAGATTCTGTCCCTAAAGTTGCCAGGATTCACTTCCAGCATCACGGCGGAGCGCGAGACTCCATCCACCACCTGCTTCCAATCTTCCTCGATGCCACCGTACGCATTCCAGAGCCGACCTCCGAATCTCTCCCACAATTCTCCTTTCCTCTCAATTACGTCCCTCGCGGTGCAATCCCCCTGCGACAGCCCGAAGAAGACGGGAACCAGGTTCTTCCGCTCGAGGAACCACCGCATCTCCTCCACGACATAAGGGTTGGAGAACGACTTCCTCGTGACGAGGACCACGCCGACGGCCGCAGCGTCCATCGCCACTTTGGCCACGCTGTGCGCGTGGGCATCGCGGCACCTGCGCCGGTCGACGGCGAAGCAGCGCAAGCCCTGCATCTCGAGCTCAGCTCGCAGCCACTTCACGAAGCGGAGTAGGGGGGCCCGGCGGCCGCAGAAACCAAGATAGACATCGCAACTCTTCACCCTCGGAAAAGGAGAGTACGAGTTTAGCGGGCTACGATTGGAGGAGGTGCTGTCGGAGGCGATGGCGACGGCGGGTTTGGGTGGCGAGGGCGATGAGTGGGTGGCCGAATCGAAGGCGGAAGAGGGGCAAGAAGACGCCATGAGAGATGCTAAGCGGTTTATGGCAGCAAAAGTTGCATATAAATGTAATCTAGTATATGTACAGAGAGAGAGAGAGAAGCAAATTAGGGATTTGGGGGATTAATTTGCAGGGACGTGAACAAGGAAGGAAGGTAATCCAAAAAGAGATATAGTGAAGATTTTGGAGGTGTTTGGGGGAAACCTTCCTATTTTGTAGATCAAAAAGGAGGGATGGAAGCAGCGAAGGCAAACATGGGGAGGAGAGCGGCCGCATTGGCCGCCGGCCCTGTTCACAGCCTGATCCCTAAGCCTGCTGCCAAGCGGAATATGACCGCCCATTCCGAAGGAGGAAGAAGGCGGCGGCAGATATCGGAGCTGATGAATGCGGGTTCGGGTCCAACCCGAATCCGAAATCGATCTGGTCAAGTCTGAGCTAAGCCCAATCCAATCCAATTTGGCACCATATTGACATCCTTTATATGTATCATAGTATAACAAAGAGGATTAAGAATATAAATAAATATGAAGAGCCCTTCAAGTCTCCTTTTACATCCAATTTGAAGCTAATTTTATATCTTTGCCATAAGATCAATGCAACTATCTCCATTCTTTTTTATTTCAGGTGGTCTCAAGCTGTAATCATCTTTTCCAGAAGAACAAGCTTGGAAGAAAGAAGCAAATATGGTAGAAATTTTGTTGCCAAAAGTGAAATATTTTCTAATTTAATTGAAATGTTCTCTTCATATAGTTCTTCTTTTGGAAGAAAAACACACACAATGAGCTGCTCAAACTAGTTTGACTCCATTAAGGAATTAATGCCCACTTCATGTCTAACATTAACCCTAAACTCAGTCTATATATATATATATATATATATATATATATATATATATATATATATATATATATATATATATATATCTTTCTCATGGGACTGAGTGGTTTCTAGTAATCTTCTAAGGGTTGGATTAGTACAGTCGAGATTAGCTTGAGTTCAACTCGACAGCTTCATTCGCCTCAAGGAAACATATGCTAAGAATCGGTAAGCAAACACCATGGCGATCATGGCAGCGACTTCCATGACTCCATTGTCGAGATGGTTGACATTCAGATGCGGGGGGACATGGTCATACTGCACCTTCAGGAGGAGTCTGTAAGAGTGGTAGTTGAAGGAGATGAAGCGAAGCCATGAAATGAATGCAGGAACTCTCTGCAGATTTGTCAGTAGCAGCTGCATGTAAGCCATGAGGTTACAGAGTAGTAGTGGCAAGATTTCTGCATCATTGGGTGCTTACCTTCACAAAGAATCCTCCAGCCAGCATGAAGGTCATCACTGTCACTGAAGCTAGAGTGGTTGCCTGCTTGATGTTCATGAATGAGGCACCGATAGCTAACCCCAGCCCCTGCCAGATTTGCCAAACATCCGGTCAAAAGGCCAAGATTTGATGCTGAAATGCTGTGTCAGGAAGTATGCAGATTGTGATCCTGTAACATACAACATACCTGAGCAGCAACAATGCTGAGGAAGACAACAAGCATACTGAGAAAGAAGTGTTCGATACTGAGCCTCAGACCTGCCATGAAATAGACAATTAGCAGAAATATGATGGGTAGGAGGAGGTCTAATGGCAGATCGCTTGTCGTCCTGGCGATGAAGTATGCGCTGAGCCTGTACATGTCGACTGCTCTTTCCTTGTTCAGCATTGCTCTTTCTTGAGGGAATGTGAAGATCGCTGTGAAGACCGGGAAGAATCCCCAGAAGACAGAAATGAAGAACAGCAAACCAGCCTGCAGTGTTTCATCTCCAATTGTAGATTCTTAGATAGCTCATACTCTTCAGATGAACTACTCGATGATCGTTTTACTGTTGTTGTTCTCATGAATTGTGTTGATGATAGTGTTCTCAAGAATTGCATGTAATGTAGAAAGTGTTGTTACCTGATCTTCTTGACCTATTTGAGTCGCAATGTTTGAGTGCCACCAGAGCAAACCAAGGATCACTGCAATTGCAAGAACTTGAGTGATCCTCATCCAGCTCAAGTAATCATGCCTTCTTTCTTTCAGTCCTCTCCAGAAAAGAATGGAGTACTGCTGCCACCAGCTTGCTCCCCAATCTCTTTTTGTTGATGACAATGTAATCTTCATATCTTCGCTTATAGGAAGCGGCGCAAGAAGCTTCTTCTTCTGCTTGTCTGCAACTCGAGTCTCGTAAGTCTCCACCAGGTACTGTTTCATTGATTGTTGCGGGAGCTATAAGCTTATACCATCTGTTTTCTGCCAAGAAAAACTACAAGTAGACGAGCTTTTACCTCATGCACATCTTCCGGCGACGGCTTGGCATTTCTTGTGCTGCCTCCCAAATTTCTTGACTGCACTTTCTCCTCCAATTCTGATGGCAGAGTGACATCATTTATGTTGCCATTTGCAAGATCTAGCAGGAACTCTGCTGGGTTCATTGCAATGAGGGGAACACATCCGATAGATGCAAAGTAAGCCATGGCTTTGGATGCTCTTCCGAAGAACAGCAAACTTCCCCTTCCAAGTAGAATCAGCTTGTCAAATCTATGGAAGAGTCTGCTTGATGGTTGATGAATTGTAGTCACCACTGTTTTGCCAGACTGCAACAGAAGCAAGCAAGACTTGTTAGGCCTTTTGCAGCACAAACCATGTGTTCTTGCATTCCACAAGGCTAAAAGCTAAAACTCACAGTGAATCATTTATGTTTATCTTCTCCTCTCTGAATTATTAATAAATATCCTGTTGTTAGAAATGGTATTTGTTTTCTGCATGAAACCAAAAAGGGGAACAGATTCGATCGGCTACACTCTCAACTTGTCTGGTTCATTAACTCCTCACGACATAGGTTTGGAGATCTCTCTACTCCTTGTGAGCATAACAAAGATCATAAGCAGAATGATCACCTCAGCTATGTCATTCAACACTTGGATTGTTCTTAGGGCTGTTGTCGAATCCAGACCAGATGTAGGTTCATCAAGAAACAGCAAAGATGGATTCATTATGATCTCATTTCCGATGCACACCCTCTTCCTCTCTCCACCTGAAACTCCTCTTACGAAGGATCCTCCAATGATGGTATCTTGGCACCTGCACATTGTTACCGAATCAGAGGAGACATCAGTCGATGTCAGGCAAGAATCTATGTTTTACCTCTCGAGCCCGAGCTCGTAGATCACATTCATGGCCCTCTCTTCCTTCTGCTTTCTGGTCATTGTCCTCGGAAGTCGAAGGAGAGCCGCATACGTCAACGTTTCTCTTACGGTGAGATGAGCGAATAGAACATCATCCTGAGTCACGAACCCGATCCTGAAAATTGACTTCACTCCTATAATCTTATCATCTTCATTTAGCCACTGATGTAACTGATAGGAGAGCATGCAATGGTGAGCTCGGTTCATTCTGTACCTGCTCTTTAGCGACTTGGCGTACGGCTCATCGTTGTAAGTGATGGATCCTTGAACGACGTTGTCGGCTGTTCTTCCGGAGAGGAGGCTGAGGAGCGTGGTCTTCCCACTGCCGGAAGGACCCATCAAGGCCAAGAGTTCTCCCGGTTTGGCTGAACCTGTGATGCCTTGGAGGATATCTTTCTCGTTGGTTCTCGTAATTCCTCTGAGGATTACCTTGTATCTGACCTCTGTAAACTGCAGAATTCACAGCATGAACTGCGGGATTAGATGAAGAAGAACTGTTTCTCTTCAGGACAGCAGGAAATCCAAGTGCTACCTTCACATATATGGGATAAGTTGTCTCTGACATCAGCCTTTTTCGAGATCTTCCAGGCTCGAGATCAATTCCTGCGGGCAAGCATATCACGAGCATCGACATCTGCCTTACACTGACATCTACCAACTTTTTTGCGAGGAGCAGATGTTGTTGTTACCTTTGTCACCGCCAGTGAGAGCAGTGATGTCAGAAACAATGTCTTCAGGGAGAGCAGTGAAGCCAGTGAAGGAGAAGGAGAAGCCCAGACTCGCACTGGAGGCTCGGCTCAAGCTTCCACCACTGCCACCGTCTTCGCAGTCCACCTTCATGTGTCCACTTCGCGTGCTTCTCAGGTGGTGTCCTGCTTTCGTGGCTGGCGAAGATCCCACCAGCTTCTTCCCCAGGCTCGACTTCCTCGACAAGCTCGGACCGCCATTAGCGTCTGCGACCGGCATGGATTCAGCTGATGGAGTGGGGCTCAGAGTCGGTGGCCGTGGTGGTGCCATCTCCAGTTGGTCTGACTTGGTCCTGGCGATCCCACCTGCTGCTGAATCCATCTCGACACACCTCAATTCTTCTGTTCATAGGATATGATGAGAGGGATTGCAACATTTAAGCTTCACCGAAACAAAATTGCCAGAAGAACATAAATTTTACGTTTTAATGCAACAGTGATGATTAATGCTCCTTTCATTATCAGAATTGATTTGTCAAGAGACAAAGTCCTCAATCTATCTCGTCCATTGAATTGGGGTTTGAAATGCATGCCAACCAAGTTTTGACAGGAGACTGAAGAAGATTCCTTATGTTTCCTCAGTGGAATATTTCCTCTTCTGATTCCTTACCTCTATTACTGAACATTGTTAATGAATGATATATCCTAAATCACATCCTTTTCAACTATTTACAAGATAATAACTCCATTGGACTCGAATCATCACCCCAAACATCAACAAGAAATAGGATCTATAAATCATTTCTAACATTGCAACCGCTTACACGCAAACAAGAAATGACAGCAACACAGAGCACATGAAATCAAGTGCTGAAATATATCATTCAGGGAAAAAAAGAGAGAGATGGGGGGAGGGGGGGGGGGGAGAAGAAGGTGAAGAAGGAGATGGGAAAGAGGAGTTGTAGCAGAGATATTAGGTACCTGAAAAGGAGTGTGGGTGAGGAAGAGCAATGGAAGGCCAGCTTGATGCCACCAGGTTTACTTCTCCTCCTCCTTTTATGCAGCTGCCACCTCTCATCCAAACCTCACAATGTCGTATGATGGAGGGAATTGAACAGCAGCTCACAGAAATGCCCCTAATCTTGTTGCAGTACTACTTCATGAACCTGTCCACCAAGCAATGCACTGGGGACCTCATATGTGTGTGTGTGTGTGTATATATACACACACAGAGATATATATAGGAAAAAGAAGATCTTTGCTCAAAGGAAAAGTATGCAAGAAAAGTACAAAGAAGTGTTTCTCACTGAGTGGAAAATGATTGGAGCTGCAACAGTGATTGCAAAGAAGAAAGAACAAATAATGCAGAAATACTGCTCATGATGGACATGTTTTGTGGTGTAGTAATTAGGTGGAGTGGCTTCTTCCTCCAGCTGTTGCATGAAGGAAAAAAAGGGAAGAGACATATGCAGAAAATAAACCATGATTGCTGTGTGTTTGACATGGACAAATGCTACTGAGGAGCTCTAAAATTCCATCTACAAAATGTGGCATAAACACCACCACTACTTGCTGCCAATTTGTCTCACTCATGATTTCATTCACCTCCAAAATTGTATGAATTGTCTAACCCAAATCTTCACATTTTTTCCCTTTTTCTTGAATGAAAAGTGTGGCAGAGTTTCCAACCCATTTGGACAAGTAAATTGGAAACAAACAAGAACCAGTTCCAAGAAAATGGAAGAAGAGAACAAGAACACAAATTAGAGCAGAAGAGAACTCAGAGAAACCATCTCAAGGGAGCAAACCAACATCCTCAAGACACACTAAAACCATTATAAGTTTGGTTGGGTTTCTTTAAATGAAATTTGGCAGTATCCAAGACAACTACAGTTGTTCCTCATTTCAGCTTCTATTCCAAAACAGAAACAAGAGAGAGAGAGAGAGAGAGAGAGAGAGAGAGCTTTTGCATTTAGAAGTTGGAACTCAAGGTTACTTTGGTACAAGACATGTTCAGGTTCACAGAGTGGCTGTGGAGGCTAAAGTCTCCCTTGAGATGTGCGTCGCCCAGATGTGTGGAAATCGGGAACCCCACATCGAGCTTCCATGGGTGGGGCACTCAGAAGCTGGTCAACCTCTGAGTCTTTTCCTTCCTCCCATGATTCAATCTTCGGATGTGACACATGATCTGCCTGCCTCCACAGGATGTATCTCAGCTGCCATTAATCTTCCTTAAGGTTCATACCCAACTCAGAAATCCAACATCTGTTTTAGTTGTGATGTACCTCTAACCTCATCCACAAACGTACTACTCGATCTTAATGTCATTTTACCTCCAAACTCAGTCAGAAATCCACCTTTTGTGCATGTGAAAGTTCTTTAGAGGATGCAGCTCAAATGTCTCCAAAAGAAGAAGTCTTGTGTTCAATCTTGTAGTCCTTCCATGGTTGTCTCTGTATTTTCTTTTAGTTAGAGAAGTGATTTAGATAGTTACTTTACAAGTAAAAAAACAAAAGACTTTTGGTGGAACACATCAAATGTTTTCTAAAATTGAAGAATAAGAACACTGAGAGTAATAACAACAACAATATAAAGAAATATTAATGAAAAAAATATGTATATATAATAAAATATAAATATAAATATTTATGTGAATCAATACTCCTTTTATACTTGATAAAAGTGTTATCACTTTTGAACCCATATATATACCTCAATTAACGAGTACACTAATCAAATTTAAATAGATCATGTAAATATTAATACACACATATATATATATATATATATATATATATATATATATATATATAT